CTAGCAAATTGTAGGACAGCTTTATCGGGAGGAGGAAAAAAAATAATCCGGCTCACGGTTACCTAAAAATTTTTTAAATCTAATACTATTAAACAATGTACTGTTCGTATGCCACAAAACAAAAGAAAAATAATCGAAATTTAAATGTTAAAAATTATATCAATATATCTAAAAAATTTAATCAAGTAGAATTTTATCATTTGAAATAATGAACAGAGGTAGTTCAGCACACCTAATCACTATCTAGTTATAGGCCTTGGTGCAATACGACACATTACAGTATAAAGTTTTTATCTACTTAACTCATATCGTTTTAAATTTAAAAGCCGTTTGATATGTAAAAGTATATAAAAAATATCGGGATCACATCTTCTAATCCAAGTTCCACTTATACCTGTACTTATTTGTTATGTAGTTAATTAACAATACGTCGGTTTTAATTTTTTTTGTAGGTATTGATTGTGTCACTTGTCATGATTAACTTCGTGAATTTATTATTCTATTTAGATAATAAACATAACGGTAATAATAATTTAATGGCTTATACACAAATATTTTAATTTGTGAATATTTCATCATATATTCTAATAGTGATTTTAGTGTTTTCCACATGAAATTACTAGTCGTAGCTTTATCACAGATGCCGAATATATACGCTTATAAAATTTCTGGTAATTTATTAAGAAACTAAAATGATTGTGAACATAAATACGATGCTTAAGAAATTTCATCGATATTATTCAGTTGAGGCGATTAATGTATCTAATTGTATATAAATTTAAAACAACAAAAATGTTTTTTATAAAATTAAAATTCGCTTATTTCAAAATTGCTATAAAAGTAGGCTATATACATTTCCACTTTGTTGGCTAGTATACAGGGTATATCAGAATGACGTTTTAAAAATTTGGGGGGATTGTAGAGGATAAAATTTTGAACGTTTTGATATAAGGAACCCATAGCCGGAAATGTGATATAAAGTTTCTACACCACTTTGCACTTTGCAGTCGGAATGCTGAATGAAACAGCAGAATACAGTATTTATGACAAGTTTTATTGACAAAACAGTAGATTACAATTAAACTGTATATCGAATCAGTGGCTGCACCACATTAGAGTAAATGTTCAATGTGACGACCACCAACTTCGTTACATAATGTGCAACGACGAACCATGTTTTGTCCGACTCTGTAAGATGCCACGCTCCTTTCTGATTGTATTAAATGCTGTAAAGATGCACTCCTTAAGCTCATGAACTGTTCCTACAGGTGTTGCGTACACAAGGGACTTTACATAACCTCAGAGGAATAAGTCAAAAACAATAACATGACTCAATGGACGGAAGGATAGCTACCAAAGTGAAGGGCGATCAAGCACTTCCTACCGCTATAGAAACTTTATATCACATTTCCGACTATGGGTTCCTGATATCAAAACGTTCAAAATTTCATCCTCTACAATCTCCCAAATTTTTAAAATGTCATTCTGATACAACATGCCATGTATAATAACAGAGAAACAGTATGGTGATCGGTTAAAAAAAATTATCTCTGAAATTTTCACATTTTTGGACTCAAGATCTTGAAACGTTGAAAAATGCAAAAAAAAGGTATTTTTTTATATGTATGGCTGTTAGTGTGTGTTAGTACGATTTTGTTCTTTGAAGTTTAATAACTCCTGTGCCTTTTGCCGAAAATTTCTGAGGTTTTGCAGGGAGGTTTGTGTATTAGGTGCATTGATGCTATTCAGTTTTCAGTGGTTAAAAGTCGAGAAGTAGAACGATAAAAGGAGGTAACTTGTCATATCTCGAGCAGGGTCGAACTTAAAGATTTCACTCGCTATTAGCGTTTACAATTTTTTACAAAACTCANTAGTTAATTAAAGCAAATTATGATTTACTACTCACCTGAGCCACATGGGCTAGCCTCACTGCGGTGCTACTTTACGATCGCATTGTAATATATTTTAATATAATATTAAATATAATAATTTTAATAAATTAATAATAAATTTTAATGCAATAATCGCATTGTTAATAATATTTTAATATAATATTAAAAATCGTCAGTTTATGATTAAAAAATTGTGATTAAAGATTTTTTTTTCAACATTCACAAATAATTAAAAATTAGTAACATTAATTATGTATTATCATCAATATTTTAGAATTGTATTACTATCTTGAGATGATAATTTTTATTATATTTACAGTTGCTGATCACTGCCATGCCTTCTTTGGCTTAATTCCTGGTTTGGTAGGTAGTCTGATTTCTGCATTTAAGGGTAGAAGGAAACGAGACTTGACCGCACAATTGAACCAATATAGACATCTGCAGAAACGTGAGGCAGAAGAATTCAGAGAATTTTTGGACAATCTGCCGATTTATTAACTTAGTTAAAGCACTGAAATTATAATAATAATAGGACTGCTACTTTGAAATGAACTCACTGTATTTTATTTTTAAACAATAAAACAGACAAAAAAAAATCAATATTTGTTGCTGAATTGTTATTTAGAATAAACTCGATAATTAAAGGTTATTTATAAATTCTATAATTTTCTAAAATTACTTTACATATTGTTTATGAGTGACTACACATAAACTAACCAGCACATATAATTAATGGTAGTACTAAATTTAATATCAACATAATTGGATTGAATTGGATTGATAGAATAACGCAATTCAACATATAAGTTTTCCGGGATGACTTTCTATGAAAAACTGGCTCCCATTTAGGTGTTACAGTGAAGAAAACCCGTAAAGAAAACCCGGATAACTTCGTGACTAGTCTGTCGATTAGGTGGAATTATAAACCAGAACACAATTATTAAAGCAATAGTAATGAGAATACACAAAGAAAATATTTTCTGAAATCATATTTCGTCTCTTTTCATATTATAAAACGCAATATCATATAGTAAAGCCGACTTTGTTTATTATGGTCTCTTTCGCCTGTTATTTTTATTTGTTGTCGAGTCGATGCTCTTAGCAGCCTTAAATTCTGTTCGGTCATTTCCACTTGGCAAATGACTGAACACCAGAAAAATATTCGTCATTTAAATATTAAAAATTATATCAATATATCTAAAAAATTTAATCAAATAGAATTTTATTATTTGAAATAATGGACAGAGGTAGTTCAGCACACCTAATCACTATCTAGTTATAGGCCTGGGTGCAATACGACACATTACAGTATAAAGTTTTTATCTACTTAACTTATATCGTTTTAAATTTAAAAGCCGTTTGATATGTAAAAGTATATAAAAAATATCGGGATCACATCGTCTAATCCAAGTTCCACTTATACCTGTACTTATTTGTTATGTAGTTAATTAACAATACGTCGGTTTTAATTTTTTTTGTAGGTATTGATTGTGTCACTTGTCATGATTAACTTCGTGAATTTATTATTCTATTTAGATAATAAACATAACGGTAATAATAATTTAATGGCTTATACACAAATATTTTAATTTGTGAATATTTCATCATATATTCTAATAGTGATTTTAGTGTTTTCCACATGAAATTACTAGTCGTAGCTTTATCACAGATGCCGAATATATACGCTTATAAAATTTCTGGTAATTTATTAAGAAACTAAAATGATTGTGAACATAAATACGATGCTTAAGAAATTTCATCGATATTATTCAGTTGAGGCGATTAATGTATCTAATTGTATATAAATTTAAAACAACAAAAATGTTTTTTATAAAATTAAAATTCGCTTATTTCAAAATTGCTATAAAAGTAGGCTATATACATTTCCACTTTGTTGGCTAGTATACAGGGTATATCAGAATGACGTTTTAAAAATTTGGGGGGATTGTAGAGGATAAAATTTTGAACGTTTTGATATAAGGAACCCATAGCCGGAAATGTGATATAAAGTTTCTACACCACTTTGCACTTTGCAGTCGGAATGCTGAATGAAACAGCAGAATACAGTATTTATGACAAGTTTTATTGACAAAACAGTAGATTACAATTAAACTGTATATCGAATCAGTGGCTGCACCACATTAGAGTAAATGTTCAATGTGACGACCACCAACTTCGTTACATAATGTGCAACGACGAACCATGTTTTGTCCGACTCTGTAAGATGCCACGCTCCTTTCTGATTGTATTAAATGCTGTAAAGATGCACTCCTTAAGCTCATGAACTGTTCCTACAGGTGTTGCGTACACAAGGGACTTTACATAACCTCAGAGGAATAAGTCAAAAACAATAACATGACTCAATGGACGGAAGGACCAAAGTGAAGGGCGATCAAGCACTTCCTACCGCTATAGAAACTTTATATCACATTTCCGACTATGGGTTCCTGATATCAAAACGTTCAAAATTTCATCCTCTACAATCTCCCAAATTTTTAAAATGTCATTCTGATACAACATGCCATGTATAATAACAGAGAAACAGTATGGTGATCGGTTAAAAAAAATTATCTCTGAAATTTTCACATTTTTGGACTCAAGATCTTGAAACGTTGAAAAATGCAAAAAAAAGGTATTTTTTTATATGTATGGCTGTTAGTGTGTGTTAGTACGATTTTGTTCTTTGAAGTTTAATAACTCCTGTGCCTTTTGCCGAAAATTTCTGAGGTTTTGCAGGGAGGTTTGTGTATTAGGTGCATTGATGCTATTCAGTTTTCAGTGGTTAAAAGTCGAGAAGTAGAACGATAAAAGGAGGTAACTTGTCATATCTCGAGCAGGGTCGAACTTAAAGATTTCACTCGCTATTAGCGTTTACAATTTTTTACAAAACTCATCCCTATACTCAAAAGTTAAGTTTTCTGCCGTTTTATAATAATTAATAATATCAAAAGATTTTTGATAAATATAATAAATGGAGTCACGAAACAATTTTAAATTTTTTACTGGAAAAGTTACGTAACTCGTTGCTAGAGTTTTTATCTAATAATGAGAACAAATTTTATTATTTCAATAAGGAAATGATATTTATTTATTGTTCTTTGTTATATAAAAACATTGGAATTCAAGTTGATTATTATTACAAGTAAGAAAAAACTATATAACCGTTTAAATATGAAGAAACGGTTGGTAGATATTAGAAAACAACGCTATAATTAATTTCGTTTATATAGATTCTTATGGAGAATCAAAATAAAAATCAATCAAAACAAGAATTATTTAAATATATCAAAAGTTATATTGTCGATGAAGTAATGAAAAACGAAATATTCGAGTCTATTCACCCCGAAATTGATGATATAATAAAAGAAGTTTTAAGAGAACAACTGTTGAATTCTAATGAAGATTTGATTATAGAAACATCAAATAACATGAATAGACCTAGTTCAAGTTCAGGAAATTATGTAATAAAAACTAAGCATGAAAATGAAAATCTATCTACTGAAAATGTTCCTTCCGAAATTTCCGAAAATAAAATAATGCCGTTTCGAAATTCCATGAAATCAGACGAAGACAAAAATTTCAATTTGGAGAGTGATGAGACTTCATCATCGTCGTCATCTTCAACAGACAGTTCTGAATATTCAACGCTGGATTGTAATGACATGTCATCATCATCGCCATCTTCAACAAATGGTTCATATTTAAGTACGCATAGTGATGACACGTCATCATTATCACCTTCATCATCTGATCTCGTTTCAAAACCTAGTTCTTCACGTAAAAAAGAAACATTGAATTCCGATGTAAAATCTTATCGACTTGAAGCAGACACGAATACAGATCCGATGCTAGAAGTAGGAGAACGTGGTTTAACTAGACTCAGACGCAGAAGAAAGAGAAGGAGTAACAGAAGGATAAGAAGAAAACGAAGAATGAAATTAATCGAAAAACTATTGAAAAAGAAGGGTGGCGGGTATACAGAAGCGCCTATGATAAATGCAGATCAATTGTCAGTAAGTGTGGCACCGCCGCCACCTCCACCTGTTGTTTATCCTCAAGTAGTATATCTAAAAAAGCCAGGGAAACAAGACAAAATTATTATTAAGCCTTACATTTCTGAAAACGAATCAGACAGACCGAAAAAATTGAAGTCAAAGAAATCCAAAAAGTCAAAAAGTTTGAGGAAAGGAAGAAAATCTAAAAAATCGGAGAAAAAGAAATCGAAAAAAGGGAGGAAATCTAAAAAATCGGAGGATAAACAGTCAAAAAAAGCAAAATCTGTCAAGTCCATCAAACTCAAACCCAGAATTAGAGTGAAAGATGTTGATTTGCCAGTAGATGCGAAGAAAACAGTTGTGGAAATTAATACATTAGTAGATCCTACGGAATGGCCAACGACTTCTGAACATATCTGCGAATGTCCATACGGAAATTTTCCTTTTAGAAGATTTAACCATGTAATTTCAAAAGATACTGAAATTCGCGAAAGAATATATCCTGGATATTCAGTTTATTATAGACATTAGAAATAAATAATAGATAATAAAAGCAAAAAAATATTCTGTGTGCGTGTGCTTGTGCGTGTATTGGCGACTACTTTGTTTAATATCTCAGAATGGGGTGAAGATTAAGAAACTAAATTTGGCTCGGTAACTTGTATGTAAGGGGCATTAATCCCATTAAATTTTGGTAGTTAATGGTCGAAGGAGTGAGGAGATGGATTGGTATCATATGTCATATCTCGACAGGAGTCGGACTTAATGAAGATGGTATTCATTATTGGCATTTACAATATTCTATAAAACTCATCCCTATCTTCAGAATTAAGCTTTTTGCCATCCGATAATAATTAAAAANAGTTTTCATGTTTTAATTTTTATTTATAAAAAGATATTATTTTGTCTATAAAAAATAAAAATAAAACATCATTTCGATAATTTTAAAAATTCACAATAAGTATTTTTTCATCGGACATAAGTATAAAAGCGTCCTTCATCTTTTGTCTCATTGTGTAATTTCGGGTTTTTTTAAAAAGAAAGATCTAAATAAAGTCACTTTCGGCAATAAAGTTTTTAATCCTAAAGTCATACGAAGAGACAACAGATGAAGCACATTTCTAAAATTATGTCTGATAAGAACATTTTTGCAAATACAATAGATCCCTATAACGCGGGTTTATATAATGCAGATTCGTATATCGCGGGAAAAAATTGAGACTGTATTCGTATAAAGACGCAAAAAGAGACTCGTAAAATGCGGTAAAATGTTATCGCCGACTCGTCTCGCGACAGCATTAGTCGAATCTAAACCAATACTAGATGAGCAGCCGAACTACTTACACACTGCAGAGTTGAGGCGGGTAAGTTGAGTTTACTATCGTCTGTACTGTATTTAAATAAGGTTCTGTAAGTCTAATACAGTACTGTAATTTTATACATTTCTTGTGAAAAAATAACATTTATGTAACGGCCGTAAAAGTTATTTCTATTAGTGATATCTCCAAAGTTTAGCGAATTTTTCGCAGAAAAATTACTTATTAGAAATCGCGCCCGCCGTTTGGTGCGCTGCTCCTCGACAAAAACAAGCTTAAGGAATGGTGACGTCGGACGTTGCACACTCTGTAAGTAATCCTACAATTTTTTATAGCATAGTTTATACGAATTATTCTCAAAAAATTATAGTGTTTTGGAAATTTTGAGTCAAATTACTCTACAATTGATTCATTTTATGAAAGAAAAAAACCTTTCAAACAGCCGTAGTTTGTAAACTACACAAGTGCTGGGCTGTGATTGGCTCATGTATTGAAGGATTCCTACAACGCGAAATTCTTATAAAGTGGAACGTATCTACAGCGTTATAGGGGGTCGACTGTATTTTGAAAACTTTTTGTATTTTTATCATTTAAATAAATTCAATCAAATGATTGATTAGAGTTTACATTTCGTATTTGTAAAGTATTAATTCAACTTAATTCGTAGTTATTAAAAAATGCTTTTAAACTCGTTTTTATTTAATTTGAACGTGAAACATATTTTACTATTACCTTTCTAAACATGGTTTATGACGATGTTTTACTTTTTTAAAAATAAACATTGTGTCCTGACTTATTTTGTACAGTCGACACCCCTATAATTACGGTTCCTATAATTACGATTCCTTATAAAACTACGAAAAAATATACGTATTTTGGAAATGTTGAGTCGGATTAGTGTAGAATCGATTAAATTTATAAAAGAAAACCTTTCAATCGGCCGTAATCCGTAAACTTGACACGTGTCGGGCTGTGATTGAAACGACTTGTAAGAAATCGGATTCCTAATAAATTGGAACGTACTTATATCTTATATGGGGTCGACTGTACTGTACATTGAGAATAAGACAAATATATAATACTACACATTTCCTACACTTTTAAATGATTATTATAAATTAATGAATGAACAAAGCTTCTCTACTTTTCATTTATTATTTAAATTTTAAAAGTAACGTTAAAATTCGATGAAGCCATTAAACTTTAAAATTCATTATTTTTAAGTTTACATATAAGATAAAACTGATTAAACTTTCAGTTATGAAATGAGCTGTAATTTTCTTGTACAAGTAGAATATTTATGAATATTATCAGAAAGTCTACATTTTATTTGGTTAAATATTATTCTAGTAAAATCATTCAAAATTATGTAAAATAGTATACATTCGACCCCAATATAAGACGGTAGATACATTCCGTTATTTATCAATCGATTTTTTACGAGTCCTTGCCAATCACAGCCCGACATGTATGCACTTTACTGTGCATACGTGTCGGGCTACGGCTGTTTGAAAAGTTTTCTTCCATAAAATTAATCGACTCTAGATTAAACCGACTCATCATTTCCAAAACGCGTATATTTTTTTTGGAAATAATCCGTATAAACTACGCTATAAACAAAAAATTGTAGGATCACTTACTAAGTGTGCACCATTTGACATTGCCGTTGCTCAAGCTTGTTTTCGTCACGGAACAGCTCAGCAAACCGCGGAAGCGATTTTTTATGTTATTTTTCTGCGAAAGCTTCGTTGAACTTTGGAGACATCATTAATGTATATAATTTTAACTGCCGTTGAATAAGGAATGTTTTATTTTTCACACAAAATGTATAAAATTACAGTATTGTATTAGACTTATGGTACTCAATTTACATACTGTACAGGCAATAGTTCGCCTAAACTCTTTGTAGCATGGCGCTAGACGGCAGAAAATATATATATAAACAATATACATAAGTTACAATAAATTAAGTTAATATATAATTATATATACAGTACCTAATTTATATATAATTATATGTACAGACAATACTAAACTCAATTTACCCGCCTAAACTGTCCGTATATTGGAGCTGGATGGCAGAAAGTAGTTCGGCTGCCCGATGACGTTTTACCGAATTATAGGAGTTTTTTACCATGTTTGTATGGATACCGTCGCAATTTTTTCGCCGTCAAATAGGAATCCGAACTATAGGAACCCGTGTTATAGGGGATCGACTTAAAATTAACATATGGTGAAAAAAATTCACAAAATAAAATGGTTGTGAAAAAAAAATTTATTAAAATACTGTATTCATTTTAATTACAGTAGACCCCTATAAAACGGGTACCTATAATTACGATTCCTATAAAACTGCGAAAAAATTGCGACGGTATTCGTAAAAAACAGTAAAAAACTCCTATAATTACGTAAAACGTCATCAGGCAGTCGAACTATTTTCAGCCGTCAAGCGCCACTCTACGGAGAGATTACAGTACTATCGTTTGTACAGTATTATATATAAATTATATGTAAATTAGGTACTGTATATATAATTATATATTAACTTAATTTATTGTAACTTTGTTATAATTATATATATATTTTCCACCGCGTAGCGCCACGCTACGGAGAGTTTAGGCTAACTATCGTCTGTACAGTATGTAAATTAGGTACCGTAAGTCTAATACAGTACTGTAATTTTATACATTTCTTGTGAAAGAAACATTTCTTATTCAACGGCGATTAAAATTATTTATATTAATGATGTCTCCGAAGTTCTACGAAGTTTTCACAGAAAAATAAGTTGTTAGAAATCGGCCGCTCTTTGCTGAGCTGTTCCGCGACGAAAACAATGTTGAGCAATGGCAATGTCGAATGGTGACACTCGGTAAGTAATCCTACAATTTTTTGTTTATANTATTGGCATGTATCTCTTCATTCTGAAGACAATAAGCTAACTTTTGCCTTTGTAATGAATTTTGGACACTTTCAGTGGAAGCTTTTGCTTTTGGGCAGTTAAGCTTCGCTTCATTTAATATTTTAAAATAACACACGGAAAACAACACACGAAATTCGTGTGTTTTACAACACACGAAAAACACTTTTCAAATTTGATAAGAACCTAATGATTTCGAACGAATTTTTACAGATATATTTGAAAGTTTAATTAGTCTTTACTTAATTTTACTTATAAAATACACAAGGAAATAAAATTTTAATTACTTTATTTGATAGTTTAAAAGTCTTTACAAATTAATTACATTTAACTTATCATTAAAATGCATATTCATGACGATGTAACTACGACAAATTAAATAATTACTCACCTTATATTCGGTGTTTATGTACATTATTCGAAATATCTTATGCCACGTTCAGTTGTACGATCCGGAGCTAATTGTATTTATCAACAGTGTTATAATTTTTAATATTTTAATAACGAATTTGCAAGAGAATTTTGTAACTCGAAGATTAAATTCAGACGTTAGACTTGTTAATATGAAAAGGAAATGAATGTTGCAGGAATTTATAAATTACTTACGGGGAAAAATTTATGAACAATTTAGACAAAAAGAGGAAACTTTAGAATAAATTTTGTAATTCCTGATTACTGAGCCATGCAACTATATTCCTGAAAAACGTTAATGAGTTATTTCGATGAATTTTTAGTGTTTTGACATTTAGTATTTAAAAATTAAACCGACTGTAAATAAATATTTACGTATAGTAAAAAACATGAAATCATTTATTGACATTAAATAATAAATTAAATACAAGATTACAATTTGAATAATTGTATTCGGTGTAATCAAAGTTGAAGCAGGAAAAAACGAAAGATAGACAACATATTTTTCCTCGTTACTTCTACGTAGAATAAAATCGCATAACGTATATTAATAATGCAATTATCCTTGACTATAATGTAGTAAAATCAATTGTGATTTATGCAATGTTTTATTGTCTATAATTCTATACCCATGGCAATAATAATACCACATTTAAATACCACAACTATATTTCGGTAAAATAAATATACGTTGANTAATATGAATTTTAATTGTAAAGTAATGCTTATAAGCTTTACAATAAAAATGTTTTGTGTCTTGCCTTCTTTCAAAATAAAAGTAACCTTAAGTTTAAATAAATGAACGACAATTCCCTCTTTAGTAAGCCTTTAGTTATACGAAACTGTTCAAAAAATTGTAATGACCATTGTTTCCCAAACTATGTTTCGAGATACACAACTGATCCGTGGAAAAAGAATAAGTGTTCAGTAAAAAAATTATCAAA